ATGAAAAGTTTCAAGGACAGACTAATCAGAGTGGATGAAAAATAACGCAGAACTGGTGAAAATACGAGGCTAAAATTCCCCAAACTCTGACCTACAGAAATAGACAACCAGAAACTGCCAAAGTGTTCTGTAATGCTGCCACGAGTGTTCTTTCAAGGACTCTTAGTGGGTCTGAAGCAATCCTCATAAAAACGGACTTTTTTTTTGTCCCGACAACTGAACCCGGGACCTTGCGCTGGCCAGGCCGGCGCTGTGCCGCTGAGCCACATCCCCGGTCCTGGTCAGTGTTTTCGGTAGACACTGTTCTTCATGTTAAGAAAAATGACTGGGCCCCTGACAGGAATGGTTCCGCTGGCTTCACAGAAGCCTGCAGCCTTTTAGTCACCGCTAATTCTAACTTTTTTTGAGTGCAGAGCAAGCTGTAGATGGCAGTGGGACGCGACACCAGCTTTCCTGCCATCCTTGAAGTACATTTTTGCTGCTTTCTTGCTTGGACGCGTGTACTGTGTCCCCTCTCAGAGTACTTTAACCTGCAGGGCATCCTGATTTGCAAGAGTTCGTACCTTCCTTGGAATGCAAAGCATGTTCTGCTTCCTTCACTACTTGTATCAGTATTGGTTCCTGTGTGTGTGTGTGTGTGTGTGTGTGTGTGTGTGTGTCTCCCCCCTGTGGAGGTGCTGGGGATCAAGCCCAGGACCTCACATATGCTAGGCCAGTACTCTACACCCACAGCTCTTACACTTATTTCTTGTTTGTTTTATTCTGACCACACCCGCACCATTTCTCACTGCAGTACTGAGCGCTGTTGCTGAGCTTACGGTCTTTTCCACACAGTGGGTAATTGAAACATCTGTTGAAATAAGTGTCTTAACGGAGAGTAAACTCTTTACGAAGCTCTTCCAGTAATTCCTAAACTGTGGCTTTTCACCGAGGAGTATTTTAAACGAGGTAAAATGCTCTGGCTGACGTGTTAGGAAGTTCAAGCGTAGGCCTGAAATTTTATTTGCAGGTAACTCGAGAACTATTTAGGCGGGTAGATTGCCTCTCCCACCCTGTTGCTTCGGCGAGATGGTGATCAGAACGCTTGGGCTACAGAGGTTTGTTGTAAGGGGACGACGTTATGGAAGTGATGTAGTTTGGACAGTATACACTGTTGCATTTTATTTGCCCATGTTCTCAAAATTTTTGTAATAAAAGAATCCTAATTCTGACAAAATAAACCCTCCTGAGTTACTGTAGCATCTTAAAAATAAGCAAAGGTTTTAATAGTTGGATGATAGGGGGCTTTTTTTTGTAGCTATGCTCTTCTACTCCCCAAATTTCCTATTGAAGGAAACGTATTACTTTAATCAGGGGAAAGAGGTTTCTCAAAGATCGTAGTAAACATCTCTTAACCATTGTAAAAGGTCATTTTGAGTCCGGATTCAGAGATCTGCACTTTCCTCGTGGTTGTAGTTTGGGTTGTGTCTTCCGTGTGCTCCAGCTCGCAGCTCCGCAGTTGCAGGTAGGTGTGAAGGAGCCCCGCTGGCCTTTCATGCCCTCTGGTTCCCTCGGTCAGATGGGCAGCCTGTTTTACTGCCTTCGGGAATAGCCAGCACCTTGTACTTGGCTAGATGACCTTCTGTGCGAGTTCTAGACCAGGATAACCCGAGGCACTTAAGCCTCAGTGCTGCCCTGGTGGCTGACCCTTCACCCGCACTTCTGCCGTCCTTGGTTCCCTCCCTCCACCGCTCTTGTGCACAGACCGTTCCCCGGTGGAGTGTGACAGTCAGATTCACTTGAGTCTGTGTGAGAGATTCTCGGGGGAAATGAGAAGATGATACGCATCTCTGTACCTGGAGGGGAATGGTAGGAAATGCGCTAACCCATTTCCTTATACATTCAGAAAACATAAATGCCAGCTCGGAGGCCAGGCCTAAGCCTGCCTGCAGGAGTTGGTGTTTGCTTTATAGCGGTACTTGCTCAGAGGTCGGACTTTTCTTCAAGTTACTGAGCAAATTAGTTAGGCCCCTGAACAGGTAACCTGTAACTGAATTGGGAGAGGGGAAGGCTTTTCTGATTAATTTTGATTTAATAAGATTAAAGCCCAGCCCTGTGAAAATAAGCTCCTTGCCGTTTTCTAGGTTATCCTCGAAGCCAAGTCTTCTTAAGACCAAAATATGACATTCTTAAACTATTTCATTGTGTTTTCATGTACCAAACAAGGTTTTCATACATCAAACATACTTTTACACGTCAAAGCAAACCAGTTGTAGTTTTTAAACGGTCTCTCTGTACGCGTAGGTATAGTGACTTGTTTACTGTTTATGGCCACAATCTTAATTTGACATCATATCTTTAAAAAGCGGCAACAACTTGTGATCCATGTAGTGAGTGGCGGGATGGTAAATGCCCCTCTTCAGATCACCGAGGGGCGTTGGTGTCGTGGAAATACGCAGAGAAATGATCTGTAAATGCAGAAGGGAGGCAAGAGTTACTTGCTGGTAGGCTTGTTTCCCGAGAGGGCTGTAACCAAAGCCCATCTCAAAATCCTACGGTTCCTCCCTCTTTACATTTCACAATCTGCGCTCTGTCCAGCTCAGTCGGGTGTTACGAATCAAGGTCTAGAAATTGCTGTCCTGCCACAGTTATTTTAGTCATCACTGTGTGTAAGGGCTGGGTCAGATACACAAGAACCTTCGCTTTTTGGAAAGAGGGTGACGTAGCCAGGGACGCACACAGGTAACCCCAGTGCTCCAGGAGACTGGGGCCGAGAAAGGTCAAAAGGGCAGTGTCTGAGCAGTAGAGAGAAATCATAAGGGAACTTGGGGAAGAATGCTGCCTTGGACTTGGCAGTCTGAAAAGGCGTCTGAAGCACTTACGTATGAAATGCGACTTCACGGATAATTGAAATTCGGAACCTCTTGTGCCCTGGGTCTTGCTGGTTATCTGGTGAGGTCTCTGATGATCTCCTTAGAAGTATTCTGAATGACAAAGGAAATCTGTGATATTGGATCATCAGTAGTACTTCAGACCTTCCTTGTTTCCTCTTTCTGATTGTGTCCAGAGAAATAGGAGTCTTTTATTTGGAACGCACACTACTGTGCTTTAGTATCTTCAGGAAGAGTTAAGTAGGGAGGAGAGCCAAGGTGACCTGACACTGTGGCCTTAAGACTGATTATTCTTCTTTATCCTTGGGCACTTAAAAGAAGGCAGTCATGGCGAGACCAGAGTAATCTGGTAAATTTTTTTTTTTTTTTTTTTTTTTTTTTTTTGGTTTTTCTCCGGTACCGGGAACCGAACTCACGACCTTGCGCTTGCCAGGGTAATCTGGTAAATTTAATGACAACAGTCTTCGTAGTGTACTAAATTAAACTATCTCTGGTTATAGCTGTATGCTTTACTGATTTTTGTTCAAAATGCCTCACTCAGGAGGGAAAAAAAGACGTTTGTTTCCAAGCGAAGAATCAGCCAGGTGTGGTGGCGCACGCCTGTAATCCCAGCATTTGGAAGGCTGAGGCAGGAGGATTGCTATGAATTCCAGGCCAGCCTGGGCTACATAGCGAGATCCTGTCTCCAAAAAAATGAAAATAAAAAAAGCCCATACTTTAGGCTTCCTTCTTTCTAGTAAACATGAGTATTCTCGTTATTGTTATTATTGTTGTATTGTTACAGTTTGGTTAGGTTAGGTTAGCTTAGGTTTGGTTTGGTTAGGTTTGGTTTGGCTTTGTTTAAGACACAGTCTGGCTATGCAGTTCAGACTGGTCTTGAACTCACTGTGTAGCGCAGGCTGGCTTCGAGCTCACAGTGACCCTCCTGCCTCAGCCTCCCTGGTGCTAGGATTCCAGGTGTGTGCCACCACGCCTGGCTCTTCTTTTACATTTTAATGGTATTTTCCAAGGTTTTTCCCATGAGGGATCATCATCTCCCTTTCAGTTTTGCTCTTAAGCATTAATGTTAAGCATATTATGTGCTTTGTAAAATTAGACCTGCCTTATGATGGGCAGGAATAGTGATAAACACGAAGGGAGCGAGTGTGCAGAGGGTGGCGAATGCTCAGGTCCTACCAAGACAAGGAGTGGTGCTGGAATTTAATGCTCTTTTCATAAGAGAAACCCGTAAGACAAATTATACACTTGGTCTTTGTCCCTGGTTTCTGGCATAGAGCTCCTAGAACCGTTGGGATTTTCTGAGTGATAAAATGGGGCTGAGGAGGGGTTGGGGATGGACATTGAGTCCAGTCACCAGGGGCCAGTGATTGAGTTGATTGTGCCGTTATAATAAAGTTCTCTGGTAAAACTGAAGATTGCCAGCTTCTCAGTGAGCACGTCAGTGCACTGGGAGTGTGCAGAGCTCTGCCCTGGAGGCTGTGCCCGCCCTCGCCCCGTACTGGTTGATTTGGGGTGTTATGGCTTGTGTCTAGGAGTCCCCCCAGAGTCCCATTGCAGTCATAGGCGGGGCTTTTTCAGAGGTGGCTGGACCTACAGTGTGTGGTTGGTACTCCTGCGCGTCATAAGGCAGGTCTAATTTTACAAAGCACGTAGTATGCATAGCATGAGTGCTTGAGAGCAAAACCAAAAGGGAGATAACGATGATCCCTCAAGGGAAAAGCCTTGGAAAGTGGTAGGATTAAGGGTGCTGGGGTCAAGGGTGGCTGATCACTAAAGCAGTCCACCGATCGGTTTAGCACCGCCCCAATCCTGGAATATAGAAGGGGCAGGAGAAAGCTTCTAAGGTCCCTTGCCCACTTGCTTTGCTGCCTTCTGCCCATCATGAGCTATTTCTCCTCTGCAAGGCCCCTCCGCCATGCCACCTCGCCTTAGAGCCCAGCGGTTAGGGGCTGAAACCTCCACAAACTGTCAGCCGCAGCAAACGTGTTTCCCTTTAATTTGGGTGTTGGGTCTTTTGTCTCAGCAACGAGAAAAGTAACTAAGACACTGGGAAACCAGAGATTTGGGGTTGAAACAATATGAGGATCTTGCCTGGTTTTGTCACCTGCTCACAGCTGTCTTCTCTTACAGTACCTGACCAAGCAGGTGGAGCTCTTACGGCAAATGAATGAACAGCATGCAAAAGTCTATGAGCAGTTGGATGTCACAGCCAGGGAACTGGAAGAAACAAATCAAAAGCTGGTTGCTGACAGCAAGGCCTCACAGCAAAAAATTCTGAGGTAAAAGATGGAGAATGGATTGAAACCCTAGCAGAGGAAGTTATTGAGTATAATTTGGAATAAAAAGTAGCTGTAAACGATTTGGGTTTCCATGGGGTAGGCTTTAATTTAATTCTTCTTGCAGAATGGAGATTAACTGCAAGTCCTTTCCAATTAAGAAAGCCCGGTGTGAGTGGCTCGAGACTAATCTTTCCGTGCTGTTTTTGCCCTTAATTTAATATGACAAGCAGCAGTCGGCTTCTTTGTGTTCCTCGCAGCCTGACAGAAACCATCGAATGTCTGCAGACCAACATTGACCACCTGCAAAGCGAAGTGGAGGAGCTGAAGTCATCTGGCCCAGGGAGGAGGAGACAGAGGAGGTGTGATCACGAGAGAGCCGCACCCAGCTTCTCCTGCCTGAAAGAGCTCTATGACCTCCGCCAGTAAGAGCCCGCTGTCTGTGGGTTTACAGGCCGGGAATATGCCCTGCCACCGACAGATTCAGGATTCCAGTACATTATAAGCATTATTTTAAAAATGCCGCCTGCTTATTAAACTGTCAGCAGTTTGAACAAAGCTACATAAACATATAAATTGACGTCCCTGGTGTTAGTAATTCTGTGTGAACTCATTTGGGGAGGCTTGAGAGCATTTACTTCATTATCTTAAACACGCTGAATCTTAGTTTAGAGTGAGAAATACTTTTGACAGAGATTTTCTTTCCCTTTTTAAAATTTTTTTTTTTATTTAGACAGGGTCTTGTTTTGTCGTTCAGGCTGGCCTTGAAGTCACTGTGTAGCCCAGGCCTGGCTCAGCCTCACAGGGATCCTCCTGCCTCAGCCTCTCCAGTGCTAGGATTATACGTGTGTACCACCATGCCTGCTCAGAGTGTAGATTTCTGAGTGAAGGAAAAACAGAAATTTTGGTAAAACAAAAATTCAGGCAAACAAGTTTTTTTGTCTAAAGAAATTCTTTAAGAGTTATGAATTCGAATTCTGAGGATTTATTGAACAGCTGTTATACAGCAGGTGCTGCACCATCATGAAAGGTGGCCGAAGTAGGCGCAGCTTGTGCCCTCCTGGGTTTTCATCTAAGGGAGAGGCAGATAGACAAGAAGCATTAGAAGTCAGTTACGTCTCCTAGGACTTAACAGGGAGGCCACCTGGCTCACGTGATGTGTCCCCCCTTGGCTGTGTATCAGATTGCCTGTGAAGTTTTTCTAAGTGCAAACATGAACAGATTCCCTCAGTCCTCAGTCAGGATTTCTGGTGGGGTGACAAGCTGCATCGGTGAATGTGATGTGCATTCTGCTTAAAAAGCATAAGGAGCAGTGGTTCTTACCCTTGGATCACTTGGAGAGCTTTTAAAACCCCCTAGGACCAAATAGGAGACCGAGTATGTTGGAACCAACGGAGTAGCAGTCAGCAGTTTTTTTTTTTTTTTTTTTTTGGTTTTTCTCCGGTACCAGGAACTGAACTCACGACCTTGCGCTTGCCAGGCAGGCGCTTTGCCGCTGAGCTAAATCCCCAGCCCCCAGTCAGCAGTTTTTAACTGGGTGATCCTGCTCTGCAGCCGAGGCTGAGAACCCTGGGCCATTCTGTCTCCCAGTAAGGCAAAGGTCCTACTGCTGGTCTTTGAGATTGCGTGTTCTGTAATACTTCCAGTGTTGAAGAAAAAATTAGTCACAAATACTGTTTTCCTTCATGTGTTTATTTACCAGTCTGACACAATTTCATTCTAGCCACTGGTTGAATACTGGTATAGAATAGGCTGAAAATTTTAGTCCTTGTCACGGCTCCTCTGAAAGATTGTTTTACACACACACACACACACACACACACACACAGTTTCCTTCTTCGCCTTCTCAGTTGGCTGTGCGTTTTTTCCACTATTTCCCCAGACACTTCGTTTATGACCACGTGTTTGCCGAGAAGATCGCTTCCTTGCATAGCCAGCAAAGCCCTGAAGAAGAAGAAAACGAGCACCTGAAGAAGACGGTGACGATGCTGCAGGCCCAGCTGAGCCTGGAGCGCCAGAAGCGCCTGACCATGGAGGAGGAGTACGGGCTTGTGCTGAAGGAGAACGGTGAGCTGGAGCAGCAGCTGAGAGCTGTCGACGCCTACCAGGCCCGGGCTCTGGAGTTGGAGGCCGAGGTGGCGGAGATGCGGCGCCTGCTGCAGGCGGAGCACCCGTGCGTGAATGGGGTGGAGGAGCTGCTGCCAGGCCCTCTGTGGGTGCCTTTCAGGGAGCCCAGCCAGAGCCTGCTGGAGGAGATATTCCTGACTGTCTCCGAGGCGTACGGGAAGCCGCTCAGGCGCAGCAGCAGCGATACGGTCCTCAGCGGCCTGGCCGGGGGTGACGTCGTGAGGGGCCACGAGGAGACCTGCGTCCGGAGGGCGAAGGCTGTGAAGCAGCGGGGCGTCTCCCTGCTGCACGAAGTGGACACGCAGTACAGCGCCCTGAAGGTGAAGTACGAAGAGCTGCTGAGGAAGTGCCAGCGGGAGCAGGACTCCCTGTCACACAAGGCGGTGCAGACCGCCAGGGCCCCCGCCAGAGACCCGGCGAGAGCGGATCCCCAGGCCGAGCCGGGTCCCAGCGGCTGGGCACCTTCCTGTGTCGCCCCCGAGCGCGTCGGTTCTCCTGCCGACGCTGCACCTCCGGAATACAAGGCGCTGTTCAAGGAGATCTTTAGTTGCATCAATAAAACCAAACAGGAAATAGATGAACAGAGAACAAAATACCGATCTCTGTCCTCTCATTCTTAACGAACCGCCAGCTCCGCTGCCGATTCGCCTGTTTCCCACCATCTCTGTCTCCCATTCTGACAACTGCTCATGGACTCCTCACTTTGCTTATTTAGCAAATGCAGACAGCGAGGAAAGCAGATAGCTACTGCTGCCATTCTACAATGCAATTCATGTAAAACCCCCTAGGAAATGCCGGGACACACTGGCATCCGGCTGGTGCAGATTAAACTGCAGTTGCTAGAAGAGCAGCAGAACCAGTGGAGGGAGCTCCACGATCCGGGATAAACAGGCCTAGAGTTACTGTGGGGTGAGGGGCAGAGTCAGAGCAAAGCTTAGGCGATAGCTCTTGCCTCCTTGCTCGGCTTCTCCAAACCAGAGCGCTGCTGCGCCAGGGTCCTCTGCAAACGCTGCTGACAGCTGTGAGTTCATTTGGAAGAATATTCAGGACAAGGCAGGAGTCTCATCCCAAGTAAATGACAGAAACAAATGCTTTTCAGACTTGCGTTTTGTTACGTCTGCCACCAGTGGAACTGTGACTGGCGGATAATCCTGATCTGTCCCTGTCTACTGAAGGCCAGATCGAAATGACAACGCTGACTTGATCAAAACATGTGAGTGTATAACCGTCAAGGGCTCCAGCACCCGCGTTCAGATGTTTTACTCAAAGCTGTCGCTGTTAGGATAGGTGACGGTGTAAGTCTTTAATTTCCTTTCTCAAATTCAGACTAGACGACAAAGATCAAAGCCCTTCCTCTCAGAGGTGTCGTGAGCTGGAAGACCTGCTCCCCAGAAAGCTGCTCCTGCTCCGTTTTTATCATTGCTGTAAATAATTTGACTTGCTGCAGAAATTCTTATTTACTACTTTATTAAGCAGTATTGATATTCCCAACTGTGGAAATATACTTGTCTTCTCACTTGCATAATGTTAATTTAAAACTATTTAAGAGAACTGAAATTCTGATTATTGTATATATTTTTCTAAAAGTCAAATAAAGCTACCTATGAAAGTAAATGGACCTACTGCTTTTTTTTCTCCTTTTTTTTTTAAAGCTTTATGCCATTTCATTGTTATAATCAAATGAATTTTTTCTTCCAGCATATCTCTAGAAAGAGTTGATAGTGATTTTCCTCCATCTTTTAAACAGAAAACTTGGGATTCTGAAGGTTAGTCATACAAATTCTGCAATATTACCAAATGTTCATTAAAACTACTATAGGATTATCAAAGTATTTAATCATTTACTATAAGGGAAAAGTTCACAGCATATAAATATTAAAAGGAGCATGAACTCCAATTATTTTTTTCTTTTGGATTAAACTTGTAAAAACAACACTTTTAATTTCTATTTTTTCAATTTAAAAAACTTGAATTGTAAAAGTTTCCCTATCTTCCCTAACTTCTCAACCTGTCTCCTTTCCTAGCATGACTGCTTTCTGGTATATGTTTCCAAAATATTCTGTGTGTACACTAGCACATGAATGTTTATATCACCCTACATTTTTGAACAAGAGTGTACTGTAAAGACATCTGAATCTTACATTTTTACTGAACTATGTGTCTTTATGTGATGACGTATGTTCTGTGTGTTAGAGTATTACAGTTAGTAGCTATGTTTCACTTAAGTAGTCCCCAGTGAGGACTAATTCTGTCTAGTCTTCTGTTACTTCCAATAATTAAGCTTGCAATAAATTATTAGAAGTGAAGGCAAAAGACAGGGGCATTTTCCTGTTACAGTCTTCCAGTTGACTGACGCACACCTCCGCTGTTGCCGCCTAAAGATGCCTATTCTCTCACACCTCTTCTAGTAAAAACGTTTTACACAATGTCTTGCTGTGTCTTCTGTGCTGGCCTTGAACTTCTGGGCTCAAGCGAGTCTGTCTCAGCCTGCCCCCTTGCTGAAGTATTAAAAGTTTGCCCTGAAGTTTATATTTGCATTTCTTCTATCAGTTTGAATATTTTTAATGTTAGGGATTTGTATTCTGTGCTTATTTTTTAAGAACACTAGTACTTAGGAAATACACTTTTGCAGCTGGAGATTGCACATTTTTTTCTGACTGTCTTAATTTTTACCTTACTAAAACACTTTGAAAAAAAAAAAAAGAAAAAACACTTTGGTCTTTTTTGTGATGGACAATTATTTGATCTATCTGAATATTGAATATCGGTCTGTTGTCATCACTTGAAATGCCACCCACATCAGTAATGAATTTCTACTAAATTTTTATCTCTGGGTGTTTTAGGATTTGATATTCATGTGCCTAGTGCAGGTTTTAATTGCTGTACCTGGACATTTATATTTTCCTACCTGCAAAGTAGAAGTGAAATGTTTCATTACTTTCAGAGTTTTCCTGGATTTTTAAAGTATATTTTTCCAATCTAAGCCTTAAAATTAGTTTGGTTCTTTGGCAAAAGCTGGTGCTTTTATTGAGATCAAATTAAAGAAGTAGATTAAAATAAGGAAAACACACTTAGACAGAGACCTCTCCAAAAACAGGCCTGTGTCTTCCCATTTGTTCAAATGATGGTCTCAGGTAAGCTTACAAATTTTTGCTGGTTGTGTTCTGTACATTAAGGATTTGTCTCATAAATGAAGCAGTATTTTTCTTCTACCACATTGCCTAAATGAAAGTTACTGATTTCAGCAATCTTGCTGAATTCTCATTAAAAGTAGCTTTCACTTGAGTCTCTTGGTTTATCTGAAAATACTGATTTCTACTCCTGAATTTTTGTACCCTTTTTCTAATTCTTGTGTAACTTCTAACTGGTAGATCTGGAATATTAAATAATTATGCTGAGTGTAAACATGCTTGTCCTAAAGGATATGTCTGGTGTTTGATTTATCATGTTGGTTTTTTTAAAAGTCACGAGATTGCAGTCTGCATCAGGGCCCTGCGTGCTCCTCCCTGGACTCCTGGACCCTGGACCAGGCAGTCTCATTCTGCTGCCACTGGGATCGTGTCTGAGCCCTGCCTGTTCCGTCAGCTGTCTGGAGAGCCCAGACACCGCGGCCTGCATTCTGCCACCATCAGAGTTCGCATCTGAGCCCCGGGACAGGTACGCTCCTTCAGCTTCCTGAGGACAGTAGACCAGGCAGACTGCGTTCCCACCACCATTGCAGTCTGCATCTGGGGGCTGGGGGCTCCAGCAGCTACCTGGGGACTCGACACTGCAGGCCATGTTCTGCTGCCACCGTGGTTTGCCTCGGCCCGGTGTGCTCCTTGAGCTGCCTGGGGATGCTGGAGCAGGCAGTCTGCCTTCCACCGCCTCCACGGTTTGAGGCTGGGCCCTGCAGGCTCCGTCAGCCGCCTCGGGACCTCGGACTGGGCATTTCCCATTCCGCTGCCGTTGCAGTTCACATCTGAGCCCCGGGAGAGCTGGGCACACTCCACCAACTCCCTGGTGACTCTGAACTGGGCAGCCCATCTGTGCCATCATTGTAGGGCAAGTGTGACCCCCAGGAAAATTAGGGACCTTCAGTGAGTTGTCAGGGAAGGGTGAGACAGGGGTGCTCAGCCTCGGGCATCAAAAATGACAAGATGAAGGACCAAACTGCAATCTCAGAACTCCACCCGACCCAGAACAAGTCCAGGAGACATCAACATAGAACTTGGAAGTCACACCTGGAGTTCTGAAATTTCTGAAATGATTGCAACTGAAGTAAAAAAAAACAACTCCAGCAGGCCATAGAAGAAATCAGATGAGAAATAATCTCTCAGGTAAAAAATGAAATGACAGTGACAATGAAAGAATTGCTCAGCACATCTAAAGACGTACTAAAAAAAATAGAGGAGCATAGAACAATGGTGGAAATGTTAAATGAACAATATAAGAAAGAACTAGGATGCATGAAGCAGATTCAAAGAGCTGTCCAGGAAATCAGAACTTCCACCAAAGCTGGCAGAACTGCTTGAATGAAGCCAAAGATAGAATTTCAAATGTTGAAGACAGCATTGTATCTAATGATCACAAAAGGAAGGATCTCTTAAAATTAACAAGGAACCAGGATCTATCAGTTCAACAGCTGCAAGTCAATGCAAAGAAACAACGTAAGACTTAATAGGTGTCAACAAGACAGCGGCAATGCAAATGACATAAAAACAAAATTTGCAGAAGTAATAGAAAATTGCCCACGCATGGAAAAAGAATCTGACATGCAGTTAACTGAGGCACATAGAACTCCAATTAGCCATAACCAAGACAGAACTACACCCAGACATATAATAATCAAGACCCCAGGCAATCCAGGAAAAGAGCAGAATATTAAAAGCCATTAGAGGAAAGAAACAGGTCACCTATAAAGGAAAGTCCATCAGAATCACAATAGATTCCTTAACACAAACCATCAAGAACAGCTTGGAGTGAAGGATTCCAGGTCCTGAGACAAAACAGCTTCCAACCCAGATGGATGTATCCTGCAAAACTATCTTGTAAATTTAATGGAGAAATAAAATATTTCCACAACGACGTACAAGTGAAGAACTTCATGAGCACCAAACCAACCCTACAAAGAGTACTAAAAGATATTCTAGAGGTAAAAATGACCACAATTTCAAGAACAATAGAAAGGAACCACCAAGCAGAACAAGCAGTTAAACAGAGAAAAAGTAGGAAACCAACAGCAGGTAAATAACATGACAAAGATAAGCCAGCACATATCAGTTATAACCATTAATGTGAACAGCCAATCAAAAGAAGCAGACTGGCAGAGTCGATCAGGAAACATCCAACAATATGCTGTATACAAGAAACACATTTAACTCAAAAGGAAACTTGTAGAATGAAAGTCAAAGGATGGAAAACAATTCTCCATGCAACAGGAACCCAGAAAAAGCAGGGATAGTGTTATGGCTTGTGTCTGCATGTCCCCCCATGGCTTGTGTCTGCATGTCCCCCCTCATGCAGGCATGGGGCGGGCCTCTAGATTTTAGACTGATCCGTGGTCCAATGCTGGGATTATGGGTGTGAGTGCTGCACCTGCCCTGGGGCGGGCAGTTTGCCCACAATGTAAGGGAGGGCAAGAGGCTGCTTGGCACTGCCATTTCCCCTTTTTGCTCTCGTTGCTTTTGCTGTTTTCTGCCACTGTGAACAGCTGCCCTCTGCCATGTGCCAGTGTGCGTCGGAGCCAAGCTAGTATGGACTGAAACCTCCATGAACTGTGAATTAAATAAACCTTTCCTTCCTGAATTTTGGGCATCAGGTATTTTGTCTCGGCAACAGGAGAAAAGTAACAGACAGGTAGCTATTCTGTTTCCAGACAATGTGAACTTCAAACCAAGAACAATCAAAAGAGATAAAGAGGATCACCACATATTTGTTAGGGAAAAATGCAAGAGGAAGAGATGACAATCATAAGTATGTATGCACCAAGTATGGGAGCACCCAACTACACAAGACACATCTTAATAGACATGAAAAAACAAATAACTAATAACACTATTGTAAAGGGGGACTGTTACAGTTCGGGTCTGGATGTCCCCCAAGCCTTGTGCAGTTATGGGGCAGGCTTCTAGAGTTTATGATTGGTCCGTGGTCCAATGTTGGGATTATGGGTGTGAGTGCTGCACCGGCCCTGGCATGGGTAGTTTGCATACAGTGTAAGCGAGGGAAAGAGGCTGCTTTCCCCACCTAGTCCTCCCCTTTTGTTCTCATTGCTTTTGCTATCTTTGCCACCATGAACTGTTGCCCTCTGCCATGTGCCACTCTGCCCCGGAACCAGCTGAGCATGGACAAACCTCCACAAACTGTGAGCTAAACAAACCTTTCCTTCATTTTGGGCGTCAGGTATTTTGTCCCAGCAATGAGAGAAAAGTAACCAAGACAGGGACCTAAACACCCCATTGACACAAACAGGTCAGCTATACAAAACAATCAGCAAAGAAATAACATCTGAATGAGACCTGTGAATAAATGGACTTAATAGACATACAGAGTGTTTCACCCCACAACATCAGAATACACATTGTTCTCAGCTGCACATGGGGCGTTCTGTAAAACAGACTATATTGTAGCCCATAA